TAGGATTTAGTGGCATCTAGTAGCAGATTGCAAAGCCTTCCAAGCATGTAGAAGAAAGTACAGTGGCCGCCAAACATCAAAGGCCCTATCTAGAGCCAGTAGTTGGTTTGTCTGTTCTGGACTACTGTTGAAAGAGTTAAACATGAACTCTGTAGCAGAGGACCCGCTCCCTCTGTTGATAAAAATGTCTCATTCTAAGCTAACAAAAGCATAATGCTTTTTATTTTAAGGTGATTATACACTAATGAAAACATATAATATTATATTCCATTTCTGCCAATAGATCATCCTCAATGTTACACACTGCACCTTTAACTTTTCACCATAAAGTCAAAATTGGTATTTGTCCGTTACTGTGGTTTATGATACCTGCTAAACTACCTTGCATTTAGTACCATAAACAGCTTAACTAAGATGTTAAACATTGTCTGCTTAACATCAATGTGTGAACATTGGTATTATAAGCATGTTAGCATGAATACATTAGCCCAAAAAGCACCCCTGAGCCTCACAAAGGTGCAAGCATGGCCATAGACTCTTTTTCGTTTTGTTTTGTTTCACCTAAGCTAACAGTTCCCCGTGGTTCCAGTCTTTGTGCTAAGCTAGGCTCTGGATACACAGAGATGAAAACAGATATCTTCTGATCTGCTGTTGGCAAATAAAACAAGAGGATTCTCCTTTAAGATGCTCTTTCAAAGCAATAAACCCTGAACAATCCCAGAGGCCGCTTGCTGACAATCAGCCAAAAACTGTGGCCATACCCCTCCTCTGTGTTCTGTCACCTTTTCTTGGACACATTAAGTTTTTAAACTGCAGAATAAAAGCGGTAGAAAACTGGTAGAATGAAGCCGCTGTGCATCATAATCAGACTGAAGCCACATCAGATCGTTTATTTATAACAGAGCAGAATGTGCTTACAGGCTGAAACCACTGAGCCTCTCATTTACTATGTAGGTGACAGTTACGGGGGGTGGAGGGGGTTCAGGGTGGTGCACCTGCTCTGCACAGCAACTACACATAGGTAGATACACACACACACACATACTGTATGACCACATATACACACATGAAAGGTAGACTCACACAATACCTTCACATTTAGACACAATCTTAAACACACAAAAACACACACAAGTCAAAGAGCTCATTCACATTCGCACACACACCCAGATATACATGTATCCTCACACACGCATATACACATGAAAACCAGCATCACACACACTGATACAAAGACAGACAGACTGAATACAAACACACACGCAAGTACATGTGTGCATGCACTTATTTACACATCACAAACACAAAGACAAAACTATGTACAAGCAGACACGCACTGAACGTACACACAAAAAACAACACACACACATACACACGTATATATATAAACATGAAAGACAGCATTGCAAACTCAGGTACAGACACAACAAATGACTAAGTGAACATGAACACACACATCGAAACACACCAAGGGCACACACACTCATTCACACAAAGAACACACACACAGTGCTTCTTTAACCACATAAATATACATACATACAGAAGCTTACATCACAGATACTGACACAGTACCCTGCCACAGAAACGCACGTACACACAGAGAAGCTTGCTTCACAAATTCATACACAGATCCAATAGTCATTAAAACACACACAGGCACATGAAAATACCCACAAAAACACATATTCATGAACACAAGCACCAACACAACTGTACATGGACTTATATAAACATATATATAAGTGCAAGGCCACATTTACTCAAAAAACAAACACATCTGATTGCTAGATCACTGTGGTTTTTCTGTGTGTGTGTGTGTGTGTGTGTGTGTGTGTGTGTCGGCAGATTAATCTAGTGGGGTCGCTGAGATGACACTAATCCCTTCGCTGATTATCTAGAGCATAACATCACTCTAATCTGATGGTGGGGGGGTTAAGAAAGACAGACAAGGTTAGAGAGGGGGAGAGCGAGGGAGAGAGAAAGAGAGAGAGAGAGGCTGCGTTCACACTCAACATGTTCAGGTTTGGTTCATTAAACTCTGCAGTGTTTCTTTCTTCTTTTAGTTTGAGTTCATTTCAGGTGAGAATCCCAAATCTCAAACCTACAAGAGAAAAGGGCTTCAAGGATAACATAACTCATTGGTTTGACAAATGTTTGTTTTGTTCATTTCTCCCACCCAGTAGTTCTGACAGTCCCAAATAGAGCTAGTTTCACCATAGCAAACACTCCAAAAACTGTGTATCAACCACCAAGCAAGCACATAGCCATCACCCAGACCAATGTGGCAGCCCACCACAGTCTAATTTGTCCCACCCCAGTTTCATAATGAACCAAATTTTTTTTTACAATTCTCTCTAACACTGTATTTTGTTCTGTTGCTTCAACAAAGTATCTCTTACTCACAGTATCAGCAATCAATTAACTAGAGGACAATCTCCCACACCCTTGGGTGACTTACAAATCGCGCAAAAAACGCCTATCAAGAGCTAGTGTTTGGTTAATGAATATATTCCATACTACAAAATATACTGCTGAAGAAAGTCAACAATGACACATACGGGTAGCTAGAGAAACAGAAAGAGGTGGTGTGCGTGTGAGAGAGACACAGACTAGAGTAGGTGTGTGCATCTGAGGAAAAGAGTACTGAAGGGAAAAGCAAGGTGAGCAGATGAAAGTAGTTTGTGAGTTGAGTAGCGAATAACAATAATAACAATAATGAGAGAAAAAAAACAATGCACTGATTTCATAGTCCAACCACCCCAACCCCCGGACTCTCTTCAGCCACTATTAAATTATATATATATATATATATATTTAACAACTGTATATAGCACCATATTTAT